AGTTATAATTGTGTTGGTGGTACAATGGTTAAAGTGCTTAGCTATTAACTGAAAGGAAGGCAGTTCCAACCCATCAGCCAGTCTATAGGAGAAAGATGTGGCAGTCTGCTTATAGCCTTGAAACCCTATGACCCAGTTCTACTCTGTGCTATAGGGTCTCTATAGGTTGGAATCAACTCAGTGGCAACAAGTTTGGAGTTTTGGTTGTAGTTAAGTTTTATTTTTGTTTCATTTTTAATCTTGTGTGAACTTTTGTAACTAATATAAGTTCTTGGAATGAAATCATGGTAAAATAGTTTGGTTTTTACTTTTCAAAAGTTAAGAGAGAATTCATTCCTCATTTGGGAGGAAAAGGGAATGATTTCATCCTTCTAAAGTCCTTTCCCTTTGAGGGTTCCCCCACAAATCGAGGGTAGTGATTTAAGCCAAGTCCCTGGTGGTCCAATCACTTTGGGATGGTTTGAGCACAACCATAAAGTAAAAAACTGATGCCTCACACAAAGCCAACCTCCTCATCCTGTATCTGCAGTTCCTTAAACCATCATTTCTACTTTTAGAAATGCCAAACAATCCATCCTCCATTTGGGTAATTTGCACTTGGGTCTCCTTTCTCTCAGTGAGCACAGCCACAAAGCTAAGTCACAATGCCTCTTGCATTGTTCTCTGTCTGAAGTGTTGTTCTTGACCGCTGAGCTAAAGCTATTGCTTCCCATGACAGCTGAGTGTGTTTCCTCCCCTGTGAGATTAAATAGGACCTACTCTGTGGCATAAGAATGGGTCATTTCAGGTAGGGGTTGAGATTTTGGTGAAATAGGAATGGGAGGAGATGGGAAGGGTGGCAGTGATTTTTGTTTCCCTTCTCGGTTCTTTTGAAAATATTAAGCTGCTCTGGTTGTTCATTTCTCAAAGAAAGCATCTGAGAACTTATGCTTCTCACGCATTGGTGTATACAGTTGATTAATTAGAGATGGCTAAAACACATCTTCCGGAGTCCTGGTGTAGCACTGTGGGTTAATGTGCTAGACTGCAAAGTCGGTTTGAACTGTAAGGTTGGTGGCTCAAGCTCACCAGTCGCTCCTTGGAAACCCTCTAGAGAATCACTATGGGTCAGAACTGACTCGACGGCACTTAACAACAAAAACACATATTCTAGCCCACTCCTGCAGGTCCATGGACTCACTTTGAGAAATGAAGGGCTCAAGGACTTTGCTTTCTTATGCCCAGGCTTTTTGGGAGGAACAAAGACATAGTCTTCTTTCTCTTGTGATTCAAATCCTGTAAGTGAAGTCAATATACACATGATAATTTTTAGCTTCTTGAGACGTTCTCGTTTTATAGCAGGATGAGGAAAATTGTATCAAAGTTTTTTCAGCTTCTTCCTGAGCTTGTTGCAAGCAGATGGCTTTTAGTAATTCCTTTCCCCATTGTTTCAAATCCCAATCCTTGGGGATAAGACTTCCTTGTGACTCAGAAGCCAGTCCTTCCATATCTAGTTATTTCTTTGAAGAAAATGGAGTTGCTAAAGTGCTTCCTACTTTTCTCTGAGCGTTTCCTCTCCTTTATGAAAAGTTCTAACTCAAGTGGGATGGGTGTACAAACCCTCTTTTGCCAGGCTGGTATTTTTTTGTGTATCTGCATAAAAATTCGTTGTTGCGCCTCTGTTACAGCAGTCACACCAGCAGTGTTTGCCATTGTCTTTCCCAGGTGGGAGATAAGAATCTTCTAGGAGGTGGCTCAGCTGGGAGGAGAACAGTCTGGAATGTTGTCCTTGGTCTATTGCATGCCAGCCTCAAAGACTACATTCTTTATCTTTTTGGTTATTTTTAAATCTACTTACATCATTATAATTTGACAAGCTTTACTTTAAGCTCATATCACATCACTTCATGTCAAAAAGAGGATCTTTCACCTTTTTTGAAAGGAAAAATACCTTCTCTTCAGTCTCATTGCCTGCCTCTCCTGACCTGGATCCAGCCACACCCTGGCTTCCAGTCCCTCCACTGTGCGCGGTTATTTCTGGGCTCTGTCCCTTTACTGATACTGTCTCTCTGCGTGGGATACTTTTCTTCCCAGGCCCCTCCTCCTACTAGATCTTATGTAAAATATAAAACCCAATCATAGTACTGTTATCACCTTTCCTACTGATTTTTTTTTTTCTATTTAAAGTTTTTATTGTGAATTGAGTGAATGTTTACAGGGCAGATTATCAGTTTTACATTCAACAAATCATATTTTACTTCATTGCAATAAATACAATCCTCTCCTCTCAGTTAACAGTATTTACCTTTGTTCCTTGTTTTTTTTAATGTACACATAGTACAAAAAAATAAATTCAGTTGAATGTTCAAAATGCACATTTTACAAGCCAGCCTCCTGCCTGTAGACACACTGCCTTTCTTAGCCCATGGGCCTCGAGTCCTCAGCTACTCTCTAAGCTATCGCCTCTGCCACCGTCCCTTCTGTTGCTGCTTTTCTGGGTAGGATTTCACTTGATGCTCTTCCCTTCTTCATGGTGCTGGGATCCTCTCTTCCTGAAATGACAGATTAACTACTCCCCCTTTGAATTAAATTTCTACATCTACAGTTGTGACAATCACAATTTGTCATGTTAACAATTGTTTATAATTGAATCATAAAATCCTATCACCATCATCCCCTACCCCCTTTCACCAGATCCATCTGGAAAAAAGGAAAACTGTTCAGTGGGGACTCTACCATAGCCCCCTCATTCTGAAACTAAGCAAACTTGTAAGCCAGCCACTTTGTGTCTTTATAAACCAGCCCCCCAGTTTTGATAGCCAATGTCCAAGTTGCCCATCCCTATCAACCCAGTGTACTGAGGAGACAAGCTTGATCCTTGATATGAGGAATCCTTCCCTTTTGGTTGGAATTTTGAGCAACTGCATCCATAAGTAAAGATCCAGTTCATCACTGACTCTTTCTCACACTGTCAAACTTCTTTATCTTCATCTGGTTGAGTTCTAGTCAGCTAGTCATCCAAGCTAGGTCAAATGGGTACTATCTCCAAGTTTGGAAGTTCTTGCATGCCTCCACCCACTTCAGACCAAGTGGTCTCTTTCCTCTCAGCTCTAGCTCCCAGTGGCTAGGCCAGTGTCCACAGGCTCGGGAGTTCACGCATCTCCTCAAACTTCAAGACCAGCCAGCCAGCCCGCCCTTCCCATTCTCGCATCTCAAGGTCAGTGGGTGAAAATGGAACGTGGCCAAACTCAGCTCATGTCTTCATTGCTGCATTTTCCCTGACTTCTACTCACAAGTAGACCAGAGTGGTCACCAGTGAGCTTCCAAGAGTGCTGTGGGTTTCTTTTGAGTTTGTCTTACAAGGAGATTTACCCTGATGGGCTGACATTGCTTGTCTAGAAAATCTACCTAGTTAAAAACAACCACAACTGTTTTGGTTTACTTTATAATTTGATTATTCTATCATTAGTTGTTATTGCTGGTATAGTGGTGTCTCTTTCCTTCTGATGGTTGAGTTTCTTCTGTGGTTCATTTCTTCTTCTTTCCTGGTCCATGGGGGAGAGAAAAAAAGCTTGCTTCCTAGCTCAGTCCAAATTTATCAATTTAGGGCAAATGTCTTCCCAGAAGAAAGAGGCCCTTGTTTTCTTAAAGAAACCTCTGCGGGGCTTGGCCCATCTGTCTTCCAGGGTGCACTGACATCTTTACATGGGTGCCAGATACTCGGCACTGGTCCCTGATTGCCCCTGCCCACTGTGTTAGCCTCCACGACATCCTGAGATCTTTGAATGACGACAAAGTGGTGAATTAAAATTAGTTCTGAGAATTTTCCAACACATTGATCTGACCCTGTGTAACCTAAATAGTTTAATAAGTCTTATAAAACAACAAAGATGACACATGGTTTCTTAAAAACAAATAGTTTAATTTCATTTTTATCTGGAAAATGACAAATACAAGTTTAAAATTAAATGAGAAATACTTTCAACATGTCATCAGATATCAATTTTAATGGTGTTACATTTATTCAAGATGTGAAGCTATGGAACCTTTAACAACCTGTGTTATCAAAGGTTCTCACTGCAGATAAAAACAGGTTGGTTACAAAATGTCAATTCATTAAATATTTCACCTTCGCTCTTTGTTTTTATAGGGAATATTTTATAGAAACACTGTAGAAAATAAGGCAGGCATGTGGAAATTCAATTATACAATTTTAGGAAAAAAATGTGAAGTCTTTTCTTTGCAAATGAAGGAGAGTCTAATTTTACATTGAGGAGTCACCTGCAAAGCTCATCAGACGTCCAGTGCTGTTCTTAGAGCTCAGGTTGCCAAAGGCAGAAACCTTTCTGCTTCTGCTCAAGAATCCCACCCACCAACAGGAGCCAAAGAGCATCCGTCAGCAAAGAGTTGAGCAGACAAATATGTCTATAGTGCAGTAAAAATTAGTCATTTTATAATATTTTTAATCTGCATTATGAAAAAAAGTCTGTACATCAAGTAATGCATATTTAATGAATATGAATCATGTAAATTTGGTCATGGCAGTTGAAGTTGGCCTTTGGCTTTGAAGTATTTTAAATTCATAGAAAATAGTGAACGTCTAGTGGAATAAATAGAACTTTTTAATAACTATTCCTGATATGAATAATCAACTTTGTAATTTCTTTGTGATTTTTCCATTTGTTACTCAATTTTAAGAAAAGTCCCTTTCAGTAGTGTTCCAAAGTGAGTGGGGGCACCTTCTGTGATGTGAGAAAAGTTGCTAAAGATCCGATTGCAGTCTGAGACTCTGTCCCCGGCAGGAACTGCAGCGCACTCCTTTTTCCCTGTGTTCTAGCATAGTGCTGGTGCAAAGCCTTTCTCATGTGACTCTCTGGGGAGCCCCAGCAGAAGGGCTGGGCTCCAGGGACACAGTCTTGCTCTATGGCATTGGGGGGGAGGTGCTGTAGAAGGTACTGGTGTCCCCCACGTACCCTGCGGACCTGGATGGTTGGTCTACTCAGGCTGCCCTCAGGTAAGCGTCAAAGCTGGGCAGTGTGATGCGATTGGGGAGGGGGCCGGAGGCTGCGCAGCTTCATTTCGTCCAGTCCTTTCCAGTACTTGAAGTTGTTGTCCAGGTGCTGCATTAAATCCGGCAGGTCCACAAAGGCTGGAGACAAAGACCGGAAGGTGAGCTTTCTGAGCCACAGGCTAGAGGCTTAGGTGTTCTAATGAGAGCTCACTAACAACCTATATGGATGTTATAGACCCTGATGGAGCCGGGGAGGAGTAAGTGCTAGGTTGCTACCCAAAAGGTCGGTGGTCCAAACTCACCAGCCACCCAACGGGGCAAAGCTGTGGCAGTCTCCTTCCATAGAGATCAGAGCCTTGGGAACTGTCTTATGGGATCACTAGGAGCCAGAATCAACTTGACAACACGTTTTAGCTTTTATGTGGATCTGGGCAAGCAGACAGACAAATAGCTGCTGCTTGAGGTGTCAAGTTTAGGAACACCAACACCTCCTCTATGACCAGCATTTTGTTTTCCAGAGTTAAGTGCTTGAGTCTCTTCTGACTCATAGAGACACCCAGGATAGGGTTCCGAGGAGTGGCGGTGGGTTTGAACTGCCAACTTTAGTGGTTAGCAGTCCAGTGCTTAATCAACAGTGAGAGCTAAACTGTGGTGAAAGGTGCCCTGGAAGTGTAGTGGATTATGGATTGGGCTGCTAACCTCAAGGTCAACAGCTGGAATCCACCAGCTGCTCTTCAAGACAAAGATGAGCGGTGCACTTAATTCCTCCTGACCGAATCGGCACCGAGTCCCTGACTCTGGACACAGATCTGTCCTGCAGCTCCTCCCTCAAAGTACAGCTCAGGGCACACCAGGAGCCCAGACCTCGTCCTGGGCTCCTCACTTGCTAATCCTCTTTCTGGGTGCCCACCTGAAGGAGAGCGATGTGCCTCCCTTCGAGAGACCGCTCTGCTAGCAGGGTTGGTGCTGAGGGTGCCTGGGAGAAGCTGGGGAGGGGAGGTTCTGGAGCAAGCACTAAACCCAGTCAGTAAGCACCGAGGCCACTTCCACTCGTGGTGATTCCGGCTGTGTCCTCCCCAGAGTTTTCATTGGCTGACTTTTCATGGGTAAATGTCCAGGCCTTTCTTCTGAGTTGGGCCTGGGAGGAACCACCTTTCAGTTAGCAGCCGAGCATATGATTTACATCACAGGAACTTCTGGAGCTAATACCAGACGTTTTGAATCCAGATTCCATACTAATAGCTAGGTGACCCCATTATTTATAAAACAGGCATCATGAAAACCCCTCTACCTCCTGTGGGGCTAATGAGGAGATACACAAAGGGCAGGCAGCCTCAGGGGCTCCGATGGCGTGACAGCACATTTCTTCCCTGAAGGCAGAGGTTCCCAAACCCATTCTAGAGTCAAATACACTATTCACCATTCAAATACACTGCCTAAGACTCACTGGAAGAATCAATAGGTCAAGTCTTTCTGTACCTACAGGCAGTTCTGAGCACTTCCCAGAAGTCTTCAAGGCTAGTGCTATCTTGGAGCATCTCCACTCTTGCTTCTGGGAAGTTGACAGGGGAACCTGTATTTTAATTTTATTTTTAAACAACTTTTATTGTGAATTGAGTGAAGGCTTACAAGCAGATGATGAGTTTTACATCCAACAAATCACATACTTTGTTTCATCTCAATGATTTCAATCGCCTCCCTGGAACAACCATTATCCCGCTTCCTACCTGAGGTTCTTATCTCTATGCTATCTTCCTTTCCAAGCCCTCTGAACCTCATCCCCAGGTAAATGCTGTCCTTTTGATCTTGAATGGCCTACTAGTCCATGGTGAGCACACCTTACTAGATGGCACTTAACAACTTCAACAACATGCTCTACCACATTCATAGGTGTGTCTGCGGCAAAAGTAGATCCGCAGTACAAACATCCGGCCAACGCTTCAATATTGGTGGGTCTACTCCCATTCTGGTAGTGTAGTGGTTACGAATCAGGCTGCTAACCTCAAGGTCGGCAGTTCGAAACTACCAGCTCTTCTGCAGGGGAAAGATGAGGCTTTCTGCTCCCGTAAAGATTTGAAGCCTTGGAAACCCTGTACAGGGTCACTATGAGTTGGAACCGACTCCACGGTACTTAACAACAACTCCCATTCCAAGGAGCTCTGGTAGCATAGTGGTTACAAATCAGGCTGTGAACCACAAGGTCAGCAGTTTGAAACTATCAGTTGTTCCATGGGAGAAAGAAGAGGCTTTCTGCTCCAGTGCAGATTTACAGCCTCGGAAATCCTGTACAGGGTCACTGTGAGTCGGAGCCGACTCCACGGCACATAACCACAATGACTCCCATTCTGCCTCCCCTCTCTCTTTAGCCTGGGAACCTGTATTGGAAATCCTAACCTTCCATTCTTATTATCTGAATAACCCAACCCTTTTAGTTTCAGAAATTCTACCCCAGAAAAGATCCCAATATCTATCTGAATGGGGACCCCCTGCTCCATTTTTTAGTGTCAGGGAGAAGACACCTCAATGGTGAGATTTCTTGGGTCAGGGGTGAGGAGAAAGTATGTGGACCCATGTTACAAATCATGTTTTAAAGTAAAAGATGCTACGAGACAGCTTACCATCCCAAGAATCAAACATGTCTGTGATGAAGTAGTCTATGAAAGAGATTTGGGACTTGGGAATGCTGCAGGTGTTTCTGTCAAAAACCGGCATCACCACAGGTAAGCCTTTCTGCGTCTCTTCATCAGTCTGTAATGCAGAAAATGTCCTGATTAGGCGACTCTAGTATCTGGCTCTAACACCTGGGAGCAGCCCCCGTCACCGGAACTTCCCTCCCAGCAGTCCATGGGGCTAGCTGTGAGAAGCCAATCACAGCAGCAGCTAATGAAACCCAGATCTGCTAAGAGTTAGTGAGTTGTTCTCAGAATGGGGACGACTAAGCACATGCCAAGCCAAGGCCCACATTCTGAACACTGGTGAGCTCTCTTTCTGAAGCTGCACAGGAAAGACTTCCAAGAGCCTCGGTTGGTGTGTGAGCACACGAGTCAGCTACCTCTCAGGCACAGGATTGTTCTGCCATCCTCCTATCCATCCAGCAGACACTGTGCCAGACACTGAGGGCCCAGTGGTGGGAATCATAGCCTCACCTCTCATGTGGGCCGGGTTCCTTTATTTGAAGAGTTTCTGAATGTCCTTGAGGTTCTAGAGGCAAATAACACTTAGGTTGAAGAGATTTTATGTACTCAATCAAGCTCTTTCAGAACATTTTTGAGATTCCAGGAATGACTGACAAAAAACTGAAGCCAGAACTAAGTAAAGGGAAATTTATCTCATCAGGGAGCTTCTAGTTGTTTCTTTCAAAAGATCTGCCGCATCTGAGGTTCCTGGAGGAGAGAGCTGAAATGAGCCATGGGGCTTCCTAGAGTGAGGTGGGAAATTCCAAGGCTGTTACGCAAGAGGATCGGGAACCAGTGTTGTTAGGTGCCATCGAGCAGGTACCGAGCCTATGCACGACAGAGTGAAATACTGCCAGGTCCTGTGCAATCTACACTTAAGCCCACTGCTGGTGCCACTGTGCCAATCCATCTTGTTGGGGTTCTTACTCTTTTCCTCTGACCCTGTACTAAGCATGATGTCCTGCTCCAGGGACTGGTCCCTCCTGATAACATGTCTGAAGTATGAGAGATGTAATCTGGCCATCTTAGTTTCTAGGAAGCACTCTGGCTGCACGTCTTCCAACACAGACCTGTTGGTTCTTTGGGCAGTCCATAGTACTTTCAGTATTCTCCTCCAACACCATGACTCAAATGCATCAATTCTTCTACAGTCTTCCTTATTCACTGTCCAGCTTTCATATGCATATGTTGTTGTTGTTGTCAGGTGCCATCGAGTCGGAACCGACTCATAGCGACCCCATGCACAGCAGAACGAAACAATGTCTGATCCTGGGCCAACCTC